CTTCTATTTATATGAAATTTGGACCGTATCGTGAACTATGATTATTAACTTCAAGAAAACTCCGGAAGTTTCCGTAACATTCTAGCGCGATTATTAATACTAAAGGTAATTTACCTAGGTATTTTACCGGTAGCTACCAGAGGTATTTTATCTCGCATCGCGTAATGTTATATATCTGAGATATTTTATCTCTATTACACAAATATTAATAAGGTGATACAAGAATATAAATATCTATACTAAAAATAAATAAGATAATACATATATGAAATACTAATATAATAATGAAATAATAATAATAAAATATGTTATAATAAAAATATATATAAATATAAAAAATAAAGAAATAGGGTCAACAACAGGTAATATTAATTAAATTGTCATTTCATTTAGTAATTATAACCATTAAATTAACTTTAGTAAAATATATTTTTATATAACTTATAAGCTATTATTAATTTTCATAATGGAATTTAAAAATAATAATCATTTATTACAAAATGCTGCATAACAACAATTTAGTTCCATATGGTCTGCTTGACATCACCAAATATATAAATTAATTGAAATTACCTATGAAGAATAAATGCAAAAACTAAAATCTCAAATTTATAATATAATTGAAAAATATTATATTATTTCTCATTCTGAATATAAAAATCAATATCAAGGTCTCGATGCTATTTTAGAAGAAATAAATAAAACATTAAAATTACTTGTACCTCTTGTACCTTCTCAACATCACTGAAAAATTGCAGCAAGGAACTGTATAAATTTTATAAAGGTAATTAATAAATTTTTCATTATATTAAATTATTTTTTTATTTAATTATTTTAGTTACAAGGAATTTTATTTAAAAATATTGGATGACCACAAACAAAACCTGATTTTGTTACAGAATCTCAAAGATTTCATGTACAACTTAGAAAACTTAATTTTTTGAATTCTATACAAAAAGAAAATACATTTAAAAGTTTAGAAAATATTGTTTTAAGTGAGGAGTTAAAAAATTTTACATCTATAGCTCAAGAAAAAAAAAATATATATAAAAGAAAAATTATTACAACATACTATAAATGAAATTTGGAAAGTAATACCTATTTCAGCAGAAGAGGCAGTATCTCAAAAAAATGAAAATAATATGACAAAAGAACAACTTGTAACTATAATTAATTCACTTTTAGTTTCACTTCTTGAAATACAAAAATTCAAGTATACTAGTTTAAATAATTAACCTAAAATATTCTTATTATAAATACTGTATTAGAAAAAATACGAGATTTATGAAATATAATATTATAAATATTATATTTTTTTTTGCGTTTCATGCTATTTTGTAGATTATATTTAATTTTATGTGTCACAGATTATCATAATTGTAGATTATTCTAAAATTATTACACCAATATTGATCATTCCATATATATCAAATCCCATTTTGGAGGTTGTCTAAAGCCATATCCTATCACATGATTAACTGATTAGTGAGTGATCCAGATAACAGAATATAAATTATAAGAAAAGTGTATAACATAATTTTTTATTCTCACACTTCTTTTAAATAAATAAAAATAGGATAAGAATATAAAAACAAAAACAAGTGAAATAAGCGAAAAGACTTGAATTGTTTCTTCTGTCTACTATAAAAAGTGAGGATGCTGGTTAATACTTTATAACAAGGGTTTCTTTAACTTGTATTTTTTATTTATTTAAAAAAATTTAAACAAAACTTTCTTTCAATTATCGTTAACTCATATTTTATATAACAAATAAAAGAAAAAACCATTAATTTTTAATAATAACAATTGACCATCACATTTTACACTTTCTATAGTAGATACAAGTAAAATAATTATTTCTACAAACATTGACTTATCCAATTCAAAAGAATTAACTCCTAGTCAAAAGCACATTATTCTTTTCAATATTAATCAACCACTTGAATTATTAATACAAGAATTTGATGATAATTGGTGGCCATTAGTTTCAAACATTTGAATAGAATTTAATTTTAAAAAAAAAAACAAATGGTGATTCATCGCAAACATATACATGTCGTTTTACTAAACATTATCCATCCAGTATTCAAAAAGAAAAAATTCTCAACAACAAATGCCAAAAAATAAAAATTCATCCATCCAACTTGTATTTCACTAAAATAAAAGTGCTAAAGTTCATTACAGAGAAAAAAGTACATGTTGAGTATTTCAAGGACTTCCCCGACCATACCCATTCTTTGGAAGACAATAATAAACTTAAACGTTCACAAGCTATTTGAAATTTAGTTGAACAAGAGGTCTTAAAAAATTATTGGTCACCGGTGATCCTTAGTGCGGTATTACCATGAGTTTCCTTTACTTTTATAATTTCTTATTATTTTATTTTATTTTATTCTTATTTGTATTTATTTTATTAGTATAGTTAGTATATTTAGTATATTTAGTTATTAGTATTTATTTATTTAGTAGTGTAATATGAATTATATAAATCAATAATGTAGATCATAGTGGCCCAGTTACTAGTCAATTTACTGATCAACTTAGTGACCAACTGATTGGCACAATTACTGATCAAGATTTTGACCAACTTACTAATCAACTTATTGGCCAAATCAAATATTATAAAAAGGGTGAGTTTTCTTTCCACCCCAAGAGAGATTCAGATAGTTTTCGAATAAGATTCGAATAATTCTAAATAGTGAAATTTAGAAAGTAATCTCAACTGTAATTTTTATAATCCTAAAGTAATTGGATTATTGATTTTCTTTGTAATAAACTTATTCCTTTTATATTAAAACTCTGTTCTTTTCTATTAATTTATATTCTTTGAATATAAATTCTGATCCATAAACTTTTGTTATTATTTTATAAATCATTGATAAATATATATAATTCCTTGTTTAATTTCTTAACTCGACCTTTAAAATTAAATCATTAGTTAATCATTTAAATCCCGTGACCCTAAATTCTTAAGTCTTTTAATTAGTTTTCAACTTTAATATTTCTTTTATTCTTCATCAATTATCCTTTTCAATTCGTAAACTAAAGTAACTGTTTACGAGTTGCTAGTTGTAAATTGCCTTTTGGAAAATAAAATATAGTCCAAAAGGTTGACTAGTAACATCGTTTAGCTTTTTTTGCTTATTTTATTCTAATAAACTTACTATAAATAAAATTTGCTTTGAAATGTAAAGGTCTTGTTAATTATTTTATACGAATTATGATTTTTGTAATGAAATTAATTTTGAAAAAAATAGTGAAATCTGCATTTGCCCTATAATAAAGTCAAGAATTATCAAAGAAAAACGAAATTTTGTTATTATAAATTTAAAGTTAGGTCACAGGAATATTAATTTGAAGTTACAATTTGTTAGTTCAATACTTTAAGTTTTGTGTAATTAATCTGAAAATTTATTTAACTGGGATTAACTAATAATGATCTTTCCCCAAAATTTACTATTTAATTTGTTTACTTCTATCACGGATCATGAATTAAATATTTATAACTACAGAGAAATTGATATATATACAGATGGTTCTCTAAGTGTATCAACCGATGATAATGAAGACCCCTTGATG